GGTCGAATGAGTGAGAGCTGGGTCAACCTCCGCTGACTTCTTATAGGCTGGTCGCGACCCAGGCTGGCTTGGGTGGCGTGCACGTGAGGGCGTATGTTTAGAATCGCGCCACGAGGGATCAATGTCGGTACAGCAGCTTGGTGAACACCAAGGTCTGTGAGCTAGCACGATACATTATGTTATGCAGTATGCTATATTTAAAATTACGCCACGAAGGGTTCATGTCAGTACAGTAGCATGGAGAACACGTACAAACCGCATGGTCTGTGAGCTACCATGATACATTATGTCATGCAGTATGCTATTTTGCTCGGCCATCTACTCACGCCTCGCCCTCGAACCGTCATTTGATTAGCCTCAAGGGTGACTCATCATCGGACCCGATCTGCTGGTCATCTTGTCCTCGCGTTTTTGTCACGATCATCCTTGTGTTGCTCCTCATCTTGCTGGGCTCTTCTTGGTCCTCGACGTCCACACGCCTCGAAAGTCTCTCCTAGGTCCTCCTTGACTTCGGATCGTCCAGACTTCCTCGTAGTCTTCATCCAGGTGTTACTCGGCGGCGAGAGAGATAGATAAATAGAGATAGAGAGAGAGAGAGAGAGAGAGGGAGGGAGAGAGGGAGAGGGAAAGAGGGAGAGAGGGAGAGGGAGAAAGGAGAGGGAGAGAGAGAGGGAGAGAGCGAGAGAGAGCGAGAGAGGAGAGAGAGGAGAGAGAGAGAGAGAGAGAGAGAGAGAGAGAGAGAGAGAGAGAGAGAGAGAGAGAGAGAGAGAGAGAGAGAGAGAGAGAGAGAGAGAGAGAGAGAGAGAGAGAGAGGAGAGAGAGAGAGAGAGCGAGAACGAGAGAGAGAGAGAGGTAGAGAGAGGAGCCGAGAGAGAGAGAGAGAGAAACCGAGAGAGAGAGAGGAAGGAGAGATAAAGCGATGGAAAGGAGAGATAAAGCGGAAGAGAAGACGAGAGAGAGAGAGAGAGTAGAAGATAGAGAAGATGTGAAGAGAGAGGAGACGAGAGATGAGAGAGATATGATTAGAGAGAGAGAGAGGAGATGAGAGAGTGAGAACCGCCCGGAAGGTATGTAGAAGAGAGAGGATAGATGAGAGAAGAAGGAGAGAAGACGAAAGAGGAGAGAGAGAGAGCAGAGGAGAGAGCGGAGAGGGGAGGAGAGAGATGATGAGAGAAAGAGAGAGAAGGAGGAGGAAGATGGGATGAAGCCGTGCGAGAGGGGAGAGGGTTTTGGGAGTAGGGGAGAGGGGAGAGGGGGGGGAAGTGGAGGAATGGAGGTATGGAGGGGAGAGGTGGAGAGGGGATGAGAGAGAGAGAGAAGAGAGAGAGAGAGGAGAGAGTAGGGACGCAAGGTACGTTGGTAAGGAGAGAGAGAGGTGATAGACTGGACGAGGAAGAGAGAGAGAGAAAATAGGGAGAAAGAGAGAATAAGGAATGAGATTGAGGAGAGGAGTGAGAAAGAAAGAAAGAGAGAGAGAGAGATGAGTAATGTAAAGAAAGGAGAGATGTAGGGGAGGAGCAGAGGGCAGAGAGTGATGAGAGGAGACCGGACAAGGAGAGAGAGAGCGGGTAGGAGAGCAGGAGAGAGAGAGACGAGGAGAGAGATTGAGAGGAGATGGAGAAGAGAGAAAGAGAGAGAGAGGAGTAGAAGGAAGTATAGGAGAGAGAGAGAGAGAGATAGAGAGATCCGAAAAAGAGAGAGAAGAGAGAGAGAGATGAAAAGGAGTAGAGGCCGAAAGAAAGTTGAGAGAGACAGAGAAAGAAAGAGAGAAAATCCGGAAGAGTTAAACCCAATTTCCCTCGTACCCTATGTCCTCTCCCCCAGTGTTCGCGTCCCTAGTTAAGTGAGCCATTTCTCGAAGCCACCGCTATTGCTATTGTGTTTCGCCGGCCAGACTGACGGCTGCCCATCCGTCACAGGGCGTCGCTCCCTTTAATCAGTCCCTCAAGACGAACTGCCTCTCCCTCTTCAGCGCCCCCGACACCCTCTGTCCTGCCTTCTGCGTCCTTCTTGTCACCTCGGTCATCGTTCTTGAGGGAAACGGAGGGTAACGGCCGGTTTATGAACGTCTGAACCTGAACGTCTTTTGTGTGAACCGGGTTTCGTTTTGGTGGTCGAAGCGTGTTGTTATATCGGTAGGGCCTGGGGGGGAGCTGGAACAGGGAAGTTTTTTAATAAGTAGTTTTTATGATTTTGATTTTTCTTAAGAATCGTCCTGAAGTTGCTTAAAATCGGTCATTGAAGTTTTAAGTCATGCATGTTTTGAAAGTCAGTTTTAAAAAACTCGTCATGACGAGTTCTGAAACTCGCTTGTTAAAAAATCGCCATGGTTCTTTTAAAAGAGTCGCAGTGGTGTTCGTTAGAATGAATCGCCAACTGAAGTTCTTAAAAATTCGGTCATGAGAGTTTCTTGAAAGTCATGTTTTTAAAATCGTCATGAAGTTCTTGAAAATCGCCTTGTTAATGGGTGTGAGAAGTTGGCCTGTATGTTCTTAAAAAATCGCCATGTTCTTTAAAAGCAAGTCGCAAATGTTCTTTAAGAAAATGCGCATGAAGTCTTGAAACGCTTTTAAAAAAATCGCATGTTTCTTAATAATCGCCAGATGTTTCTTAATAAAGAATTCGGCCATGAAATTCTTAAAAATCGTCATGAAGTTCTTGAAACAATCGTCTTGAAGTGCCTTAAAAAATCGGCTGATGCAGATATTATGGGAAATCACCACTGAAGTTATTGAAAAATCGCTTCACTGTACGTTAAAACGAAGAATACTGCCATGAGTTCTTGGAATGTACAGAACATCATGTTCTTCGAAAATGCGCCATGGATTAAAAATCACCATGAAGTTGTTAAAGAGATTCATCATGAAGTGTGTTTAAAAAAAATAACTGATGAAGTTTGTTAATAGTAAAGTCGGCCTATTGGAAGTTCTTGAAAATCGCCATGAAGAGGCTCCTAAACCGCAAGCCACAAAGACCGGATGTCACTCTTAAAAAAGCCACCTCCCCGATATTGTTCGCTAATGAGTTCAATTGCGTAATGTGGAAGGCTCTAAATCCAGCCCCAAACAGATCTCGTGGCAAACAATTCTAGCCAAACAAGCATTTATAAATCAGAATCCAAACAGAACCGCTAAGTTCCAGACCTGATCCTCCAGTCTAAAGAATGTCCCTAAAACCGCCAGCCGAGTCAATTTGAATACGGACTATCCAGTAAAAGATATCCGGCGAAACCGGAGAAATCTAAACAAGCCCCACAACAACAAGCCCCAGAGACGCCCCAGTAAAAGCCCAAACCAGCCCAACAGAGAGACCCATAAGGACTACAACACCCATGACTGCGAACCAGACTTTATTAAATACAGAGAATCGACGCCATTGATGTGCAATGTGCGTGATTCGGATACCTCCCGCTTGCAAGTTTACCCCCTCCAAAAATCACCGCCCGCCTCTCAACCACCAACCCACACTCTCAATGCTTCCATTGCTCTAAGTGATCAAAGCAGATCGTACGTTTATCGACACTTAGCACGTCAATTCCTCCAATTATAGATCAGTTGTCATAACAATAAGCTTTGTGTTAGGTGGTTGTCTTGGCCTTTCCACCTTTGGCCTTGGGAGATGTCTGGAAAATGTGGAAGAGATTCCTGTTTTTTGTTGATTTTTTATTTGCCTACTTATTTCTTTACGGCTTTCTTCACTCTCAAACTGAATTGAATCTCTGTCCTGTCTCGTCCTCTTTGACTTTTCGTCCACGTTTTCTTTTCTTCATTCTTGCTTTAAATCTGAATAATAATTATAATCATTAAGTTATAGTATAGTGTATAGGTTAGGTATATATACCATATATATATATATATTGTATATATATATATAGTATATATTATATATAGTAATATATATTTATATATATATATTGCAGTAAAATTGTTTATTTATTTATGTATTTATCATTTTCTTTCTTTCTTTATTTATTTGTTTATTTTTAGGAAAATGGGGACCCAAAGGAGAGGGGAAAATGCAACGAAGAATTAGAGTTATTGATGTTCGTTTTTAGTGTAGACAGTGTTATACTTTTACCTGTGACGACATTATTGATATTCGAGGATTAGTGAGTACGTAGTGAATAAGGACAAACTGGTGATACGTAATAACATTAAGGGAGAAAATGTGGTGAAATAAGCATGGGTAGAGACATGCATATATAAGATTGTAAAAAAGAAGAAAACGGAGAAGAGGAAGTAGACGAGAAGAAGAAGCAGAATACGAATAAGAAAAAGAGGAAGAAGAAGAAGAGGAAGAAGAGGAAGAAACTGAAGGCGATCATAACCCATAACCCATGACTACACTACGATTAGCAGGCAAAACTATGCAATGCAACATAGACCCACACACGCGCGTGCAACTACACACACACACACAAACTCACACAATAAAATAAATAATAGTATAATCATACTTCATAACACAAAACCTTCACAAACGCTATAACACACACCACCGCACCGTACCATAAACACACACATACACCTTAACACACACATACACCATAGCATAAACGCACACACTTTAACACATATAACCACGCTATAACATAAACAAACACTCTATATTACACACAGCCACGCTATAACATAAACAAACACACTACAACACCCACAGCCACACCATAGCACAAGTACACACACTATAACACACGACCACACGCACACATACGACCACACCACAGCATAAACACACAAACACTATAACACACGAAACCACAACATACTATACGAAACACACACCATAAAATTATCAAAATAACTCTACGAAGCTCAAAGGTAGAATCACACTACAGCTGTCTGCAATGGCTAGACTTACAGACTTACAGGCTACAGGACGTCCTCACAAGACAGACAAGGGAAGGCAGAAGCTCGTGTGAAGTAGTCAGCCCCTTAAGTGGCTTCATAAGACCAGGTTCCTCCCTTCGGCTTCCACCTCTTCCTGTATCTCCTGTTTAT